ATTCCTGGTACTCATTTCTGTTGGGGACTGGGTCGGTCCCAGGGCCATAGTGCGGTTGCAAGGATTAAGTAAATTGAAAAATCAATCTCATCGGGACTCGAAACAGCGACCTTCCGGCTTCTAGCATAGTGTCTCAACCAACTAAGCTATAGCGTTTCCCCGAAGCCTCCACATCTCTCAACCATATGGGTCTTCACTGCCTGTTATAGGGATAGCTTCACTTTCTTACAATTGATAGTGTATTATTTTTCAGCCGTCTTATGACCTATTCATTCATGATGCAAGAGGTAATTGGGACTGAAATAGAATTTGCGAAATATCTTGTTATAAGTGGCCTAAGTTCGTATCTCGCTGGCTCATCGCACATGCGCAAAAATATCCCATAGATTCAAGAGAAAATTCTAGGGAATCTGACATCGCAATTCCTGTTTCCAAATGAAGGAGGAAATGGACGAGTCGCGAAAAGCTGTCTTATTCCTAGTTTGGGAAGAATGGTTAGATGGTAGCTTTTTTTTTTACAGAGGAGACAGTAAACTACACTTTTTGGACTCCATGCGAAGAGAGATTTGCGACGGCTTGATCCCTCGTCCGAGAAGTCTGCAATTTGTGTCTAGGATTAGGAACTGAAAAAGCGGCCAGGGTACAACAAAGGGCTGTAGAACCAGCGATGAATAAATGAAAGAATGAATGAATGAATGAACCAATTAATTAATGAATGAATTCGAAGAGAGAAGCTTATTGCCGCACTTAATATCATAAAATAAATATATTCAGGGACTTTCCGTTTGGAATTCCAAAGGAACGAGATTTTCTTGCCTTTTTCGGTTCGTTAAGGCACCTGAACAACGTTACTGCATCTAAATGTAGCTCATCGGGATCTCAGTGCACGTACATATCCTGAAGTTTCTCTTGTTACTGCGAATATATTACAGTTGATACAACGTTGTTAAACTAAATAGGAGACATCCACATGGTGCAAATTGTTGCTCAAGGATGGGAGATCTTACTAGGCAAAGTGAATCTGAGTATTGCAAATGCATGAATCTTGAATCAGTTCGACTCTCCGAGATAGATCAGTTGTCACTGAGTCTTCTATTCAACTTAACTCCTTATTTCTTGGCTTTACGGTCTTCTACGAAACATGGCTTCCTGTACGATCGTACAGACTCTGCTCTATTTTTTGTATAGTTGCCTTCATATTTTTGCTCTTTTCTCGAGTAAATAATTCTCTACATCTCTCGGTCATTTTAGTCCGTTCTTCCGTCTTTCATTATATCTTCCGGAACCTACAAAAATTTGTAAGCCATCATCTTCTGCTCGACTATAATTGCATTGTTCAGCCACTCCATCTCATTTCAATATCCGCTACCAGACAATGATTCTTATTTTGAATTTTATGCTTCGGGGAGCTGAATCACATGTTCGTCTTGCTCTCGGCCTGTATGCCGGAACTTCAGCTGTCATCTGCCAATAAATCGGAACTCAGGTTCGCCACTAATATGAAGCGCGTTGTTAAGAAGCGCTCCTATTAATGGGCATGAGACATTCCAACACTACATTGAATGGTTTCCGGAAAAAAAACTATATTGAGACCTACAGGCCTTGAGGAAGAAAGAGTGAAGCCCGGTAACACGATATTGTTAAGTGTAAGGCCAGAGCTTTGCTCGGTAACAGACAGGTAAACACCACGAGACCGAATACACGCAAGGCAACAATATAAGAATTGCCGTTTCTATGCAACGGCCTGTAAATAACCTTCAGTTAAATGCGTTGAACGAAAGGTGTTTTCTATGTGGTCCGTGTGAAGCTTATATAACGAGTATCTGCTATAGCTTAGATGAGAAAACCGTGTGGAGGAAGGGGCAACTACCTCCACCATGGCCCGGCGAGTCGTATGAGACGACGGAAAAGGAAGTCTCAAATCTGAGACAATAAAATATTGTCGCGAGTCCCAAGGGACTCGGACCAGAGAAAGACTGCGCTGGTAAGGACCAGCAGCATATATAAATACAGATCCGTCCTCTCGTCAGAGTGATAGCCCCACCAAAACAAGACCGTAACTGTCAAACAGTAATAAATATCTGGTCATGACCCCCAGTTGGGGCTCGACAACAAAGACTTACCGACTGGCTGACCGTTAGTCGCAATGTGACTTTGATTTAGATGAGACTGAGAGACTAGTGCAGAGTGACAATGACAGAGTTCTGAGTCCCGAGTTCTAAGTGGAAGATAGTCACGGGAATTTTGTAGAAGACTTAAAGTGTGATTAGAAGAATTCATTCATGTGTAATACTTGGGAGTGCGTAATCCAGTGAGACCGTTATAGTTTCTGCGTCGAGATCCGTTGCCAGGAGACTACTAGGAATCCTAGTCCGTGTGCAACGGTGAACTGGAAAGTGCGTAAATCAACGTTAGCGCTGTGTTGCCTGTATTTAAGTGTGATTAAGAGAGAACTTGTAACCAATGTGCTAATAAATCCAATCATCTGGACTAGAACCCGTTATTTTCGTCACGCGTACCACTCTGCACGTGACAATATTTATCAGGCAACTTCCCCATAAACCTTCGTGGCTTAGTGTTAACTAATCAAGTACCGGAACGACTTTAACTATTTTCTGTTCATAAGGACTGCATCTACATGTTACGGACCTCTCGGACGACGCTGTATGCCGAAGTGAAGACAGGAGGAAAGGTATTCTCCTACCTAATGTTTTGTCACTGCCCAATTCTGGCTGGCTCAGAATGTAGAGCTTCGCTTCTGCATGGATGTAGCCGATGTATAATAGCAGGTGGTCCATCAAACAGGTTTCAGCTCTAGCATAGAGGACAGAGCTCTTCTTAAGGGCCCAAGTGAAGAGAGGGGTGCACTATGGTCCCAGTGCTGGAGAGAAAGTTGTCTTACAACTCCTCAATATCAGTACTCAACAATAAGCAATACTGAAACCAGTAATTATTTATTGTAGCTGCGTCTGAAAATGTAGGTGCAACCAATGAAATATTTCCCGATTTTTGTCATGGCTGCCTACCCACGTTCTGCTGCAGGGTGCAGAGAGATTGTAAAGCCACTCAGATCCCTGCTGCAATTCGTATATCACGGGTCACTCACACACTCACTGATGGAGCTAAGCACTTCTTGAGAAGTTGCCAACTGTGCAGCTACTCGAGAACTTCCCAGCATTTTATGGAACCCGAAGGTTCATTACCGTGTTCACAACAGCCTTCCACTGGTCACTATCGAGACCCAGATCAATCCAATTCATACAATACCATCCTATCTCCCTAAGATCCATTTTAATATTGTTCACCCACCTAAGTCTTGGTTCTTCCAGTGGTCTCTTTCCTTCTGGGTTTTCCCACCAATATCTTATTAGCATTCCTCTTCTCCCCATTGGGTGCTGTATATATTTTCTTACTATTTTAGAAGTTTAACGTACTACAAATTCTGAGAACCCCTGCCCTGCGTGTTTCGTTTCTTACGTGAGCATTATGAATGTTCAGTAATTTCGAAATGTATATAGCCCTAGACAAGTAAATAACAATAGAGACACTTGTATATATGTTTCTGGTTGAATGGTAAATGCCTGATTGAAATAATAAATAATGCATTGTCCCTTCAATTTTGTATAATTTTAACATGGATTATAAAACATTTCACATTCTTTAATACGTATTTGCAGAAATACTCTATTGGAGCAGATAACTGAAAAGAAAATTATTATATTGATTAAATTTGAGTGTTGCGACACATAAATTTTATTGAACTGAATTAGGGCCATGATTCTCAAAAGTAGCTTGACATGAAAATAGACTGTCTGACACCGTGAAGCTTAAGTGACTCAGACACAAACAGTCAATTGTCAATGAATACAGGCGGTGTAAGAGACCCCGAAATATGCCATCAATCATAGCAAGGAACTACACTGACATGTAAATAGTTAATGTCACACGATCTCTCTACAGAGCATCAACTAATCGCACGTCATATGGCTCGGTAATTGTGAACAGCGGAAAAGAATCTTTAAGTTTAAGGTCTTATTGTTAATTGAAAAGAATCTTATTAATTTTACGCCACATTCTTAATTGTGAACTTCAAAACTCGCCCAGATAAAAGCTGAAGAGGAATATAACAAAGCAGAAAATCAAGGACTGGTTTTAACATCGTCCATGTTCTCGCATTAATATTCATTCGTTGTCATGGTCCTGCTAACTTCCCTTCTTAATCTCTCTTCGCCTGCGAAGCATCAAAATATACTTTGCTTGGCAACGTTGTTAAAACTTATATTCGCGTAGTCCTTAACAAGTTCTACCCTCATCGTCCTGGCGACTTAGCGTGATAAAGTCAAAAATAACTTATAAATTCAGTCAGGTGCTTAAACTTCTGAAAGTAGTTAAGGTCTACCAAAACTGGCTTGTATAATTTTATAACTAAATTAAAACTAAAAATATCTCAATGTTTCAAAAAGAATGACAAAGGCGGGGTAGATAGCGCTCTCTGGAATATGAGAAACGCTTTACAATTCCATTCCAGTAACTTGAACTTGAAAAAGAGCACTTGAGAGACCTAGGTATAGACGGGAAGATGTTTTTAAAATTAATCCTAAGTGACAGGTTGTGAGAATGTGTGCTGAATTCAAGTGGCTGAGGATGTAGTTCAGAGGCGATTATGAATATAAAACTTCAGGCTTCATGCAAGGTGGAGAATTTATTGATCAGATGAGCAGAACTGTTAATATTAGTCCCAACGTAAAATGTCGTCAGAATAGGCAGATAGTTTTGGAGGCGAAGTAATTAAACAGGAGGATGGATCGCCTGATACCCGGACAGAATTTGAGGGTCTCACAAAAGTGGCTATGAAGAATTATATCATGAATGGTGGAGTTTACTTGTACTTCCACTTCCGCCTTATTTAACTAAGGACAACTTTACTTTTTACGCAATATAATTAATTATAAATGCATACAGCTTTACGAGAATATTATTTACTTTCGCTTTTTACTCACTTCCTGAGCTACTGCATTAAGTGCGAAACTCACTTTTCCGTAGTTATAGACTGCACTTCTTAATGATAGTACTGAAGGAGGCAGTGGAGTCCTGTTGTGAGATTCGATACAGTCGTCCGTCTGGATGCGAACCAAAGACCTCAGTGCCGGTGACGCAGCAGAGACTCCTCTCGCACTCTTCTCCTAAACATGTCAGACATGTTCCAATATACGTTCTGTTCGAGTTTGCAAGAATGAAAATTCTTGAATACTTTATGGTTTATGCGACGCAAGAAAATGTTTACTGAATATCGTAAAAGGCAAAAAAAAAGGGTTAAATTGTCTTTGTGCTTAACTAACTAACTAACTAAACATTACGCCATGAATGCATATGGGGTAGTAGATATATAGATCCACATTTTCTTGACCTCGGCAGTAGTTGGAGGCGATTGGTCATTCTCACGCCCCGGCAGCTTTACCCCCTGGAAAGAGCCCCCGGTACCCATTGTATAGGAGGTTGTGTGGACCCTAGAGCCGCTCTGGACGACAAGGAGAAGTGAAAAATCTTGACCCTACCCGGACTCCGACCCCTCTGTCGTCCAGCCAGTATCCAGTCGTACTACTGAATACGCTATGCCGGCTCCTATTGATTATCATACTTACTTACTTACTTACTAATGGAGCTTAGCCCTTTTGGAGGAGCCGCCAATTCTGCAGCTATTCAAGAATTTCCCAGCATTATATGGAACCTGAATGTTCATTACCCTGTTCAGAAGAGACCTCCACTAGTCCCTATCCTTAGCCAGATAAATCCAATCCATACCATCCCATCCTATCTCTCTAAGGTCTATTTTAATATTGTCCATCCACCTACGCCTTGGTCTTCCCAGTTGGCTCTTTCCTTCTGGCTTTCCCACCAGTATCCTATATTCATTCCTGTTCTCCCCCATTTGTGCCACATGCCCTGCCCACCTCATCCTCCTTCATACAAATAAAATATAAAACACGTACTTATTCAGAACAAAAACCTCTACGATAAAGAAATATTTAAAACATACGTCCATTATATGGGCACACAAAGGCTTCTAAAGTGTCTGAAATTATTAACTAACGTGCCCTATCGATCAGAGCGGAACAAGCTGTGAAAATTCCTCACCTCTTGTGGAATCCATATAACAGCATTATAATAGGCACCATCTCGGCAGCACGTTGCGCTTTGAATGGCAGTCCCTCACACAATGCATGTACTTCTGCATTGCACCGAAAAATATCAACGTATTTGTTTGGCGATTCTGTAAGCACTGGCGGAGAGGAGGGGTAGGGCTCTCCAGCACGTAGTTATTGGTCACCACACGACATCAACACAGGTGGTTCCGTCAGATCTCACATCCAACCTGGAAATTGTTCAGATATTAACTTAACGTCAGGAATCATAGAACCAAGTAACTTGAAATTTATGAAAATTTCTGTTCTACGGACTACAATACTATTTGTTTAACTCAAACACAGCTAAACGACTTGTATTATTATCAAAATTTATTTCCTGATTGCTACACAGTTTTCCGTTATGACGGGAGGGGGGGTGGTGTTAAAGAAGACACGTGGCGGTGGAGTACTCATTGTTCTGTTCTCCAGAGTTAGCTCTTGTAAACGGAGACACGATTTAGAATCTTGGAACGAATGTATATGGGTTGAAAACCCCACTTCAGACGGTCTTAACTTGCTCACTGGAAACCGTTACTCCCCCCACCCCCCCCCCCCACCACACACACCACCCACAAACACTAACTCCTTCTCATAAAACACTGAGANCCCCCCCGACACTGAACCCGATCTCACTAATTACTATCGCCTTCTAGAAAACAAGCTGTGTACACGTAATTGTCTTGTTGTTATGTTTGGGAACTTTAACGTTCCTCGTTTCGACTGGAAACGCGGTCTCTCTCTGCCTAATTCCCATTATTACTCTAAACTTAAGGGAGATAATATTTACACCTCCACGTGTCTTCTAAATCTTAGCCAGTGCATTGATACTGTCGACAGCAATAGTCTAAGCTTTAAAATGTTTTGGCGATGACACATTAATACTAACTCCGGTTCCGGAGAGAGGCACTAGCTCTATTGATTGAGCCCAACTGAGTAGCTCTTATTTGAAGACGAAAACAAAATCCAGTCTCCGAAACTCTGTGTCCTGAAATATAACACGGACCGTATTCTTAGATAAAAAAGGACAATGGATAATGTCCAGAAATATAACATTTTTCAATAATAATCTATTTTATTTCATTTTTTCCAACTTAAGTTACTTATGGATTACGCCTATTGATCCTTCTTTTATAAAGCCTGATAATTATCACTAATGTTCAAGTCAAGGACTGAATGTCCTTTTATGTGACCTCGGACTGCACAGTAAACGCCTCTTTCAAAAGTTACTCCAGTATTGAATGTTGCAGATCCGTTACATAACAATGGCTGTTTTCTGGCTCCAGAGCTCTTGCTTTGAGCAAATATGCGACATTATTATTATTATATTTACCAATTTTCAATCCGGTGTTTCCTCGGCGCAATGTAAGAAACAACAAAAATACATCTAGCCTAATCAACCGCACGCTCGTGCAGTTCCTCGGCAAAGTAATGGTCATCTTCAAAGTACTTTCATTTCTATGTAAAGTTTTCTCAGTTGGTAAATTGATATTCCATTCCTGCTTTCCAGCTACAGCACATGAACACAAGATGTAAGGCCATTCATAACAATAAATAAATATTTTATTAGTTCTGTATATTCTTCTTCTTGTTCTTCGTGAGTGTAAGCAAGAGTTACGCCTGAAGAATTATTCCTTTGAAGCTAAAGGTTTTCTTGAACTTTCTATTTCTTCTGAGGTTTCCACCACCCCGTCTCCCTTAGCTGATACTTTACCTTGACGTGGTGAGAGGGATTGTCCTTCTCCGTGCTCCTGAGAGCGATGTATGCCGGGGCTGAAGCTCCTGGCATGTCTAACCAAGCATATGATAAGGAAGATGTGAGAGACCAGACTGAAGTGGGGAAACTAGCATATTCAGAGGCATGAGGTGGCACCCCCAGCCCTGCGAAATTTGGTAGTCTAACCGGGGGACTTAGGAAAAGCTCAAGGAAAATCAAAACCAACCAAATGATAATCATAAAATAAAAATAGAACAAATTTCAAACCTAATTTAAGACATTCCAAATAAATTCTGTAGTTGAATATATCATCAGATGAGCCAGAGGTTTGAATTCCAAATTCTCTCGATAAAGATTAGTCTACAGACTAATTTTAATAATTTTTAGCTATTTTAACAAATCAATGTACATCTTAGTATTAGTTAAACGATATAATATTTATATCTTTTTTTTTCTTCGGCACTACAGCCCCAGTGGGCCTAGGCCTACCTCCATGAACTTCTCCATTCACTTCGGTTTTTCTAGATCTTACACATTCGGTAGGACTCCTTGGGCGGGTGATCAGTTCCTCGCAAGGCCTCTACCTGTACACAAATACAGAAAACGCACACACACAAACTAAACATCCATGCGCTGAGTGGGATTCGAACCCACGATCCCGGTTTCCAAGCGAGCGAAGACAGTACACACCTTAGACCGCTCGGCTAACGTGACCGGCATATTTATATCTACGACATGGTAATTTCCGTATGTGTTGATAATATCCTTCTGAAGATGGAATTTGTGACCGAAACATGTAAAGGATCAATCACACTGGATGGTGGTTAAAAATCTTATATGCGGTTACTAGTGTAACGGACCAGGATGAACCAAATTCAATTAATTAATCAATAAAATATATATTTAGGCACATGAAAATTCGCGTGCAGAAAAATATTTTGAAGAGAAATGTCGAAGATGGTCACTCTCTAGGCTAATATGTTACTTCTATTGTGTACAGTGTGCCTCGTTCTATTTGCTTAAAGGTATACTTACTAGGCAGTATAAATTCGAGAAATAATTTAACTACCATATTTATCTCTGAGCATGTTTCACCTCGTTCCTTTAGCATTACATTCATCATTATGTAACTCTGGCTTTAATAATCCTGAAGTTGTGCGTAACATGAAACTAAGGGATTCACATAACTGCCAGAATAACATACAGATTCAAGTTGTAGTGCGCCAAGTAGAGAGATTCCCGGAATATTCAACTCTTCTAAGAGCACTAGGAAGTGTCGGCAGCTTAATGTTGGTTGCGGTGTCTTTCCCAGGCACAGAACATGATCCACTGCAACATTGCAGAAACCTGTCAGTGTCAATCATTGCATTATTCACTCACTCACACACATGGAGCTAGCCCTTCTTGAGAAGCAGCCAATTGTGAAACTACTAAAGAAATTCCCATATTTTTATGGAACCAGAAGGTTCATTACTGTGTTCACAAGACACCACCACTGGTCCCTATCCTGAGTCACACCAATCCAATCCATACCATCCCATCCTTTCTCTCTAAGATTTATTTTAATATTGTTCACCCACCTAAGTCTTGGTCTTCTTACTGACCTCTTTCTTCTGGCTTTATTAACGAACTTATTTTTACAGTGAGGACTTCTAAGCCCCACGCCCAAGCCCCAAGCTGGGGGATCACCTCTTGTCGACTCTCCGTCACTGATTATGTCAATAATTGAATTTAAAACTAAATATTCAGCCCTTAGCAAATTTTGATTAAGTTGGCGTCGCGTCGATTTGGAAGAAATATAATGATATTTAAGGCAGTGCATTATACTGTAGTTTAACCCGTCTACTATTCTGTGTATAGTACTTGTACACTAACTATATGAATATAGACCTATGCATGACTTTCAATGTCCTCTGTATTCCGACCAGAAATTTATGAGAATGTTGATTTCGTCTATATTTTCCTTGACCTGCTTCTCTCCAGTATATCAGAGGATTTATTTGCAATTGGGCCGCCATTAGGCTGGCGCCTCTGTTCCTGAAGCAGAAAGAGATAGAATCTGTCTCACCACGTCAAAGTTGTAGGCCATGGAAAGGTTTTACCACCCCTCCATCTGTTAGCCACCTACCCTACCTACGATGCGACGAACCGTTGACTAAACTTACCAATCTATTACAGCTACGAAATTTTCTGAGATGAAAAGTTTCTAACAGCGATGAAGGTTGGAAGCGAATGAGACAGAGAGATGTAGAAAGTAAGGCAGAGGAGAAGGTGAAAGTCGAAAGTCATGGGAAAGTGAGAGACACTTTATTGTGTGGAGGGACAAAGAGCGCCGTCTATTAGATGTTCTCCAGGCCTCGCCCTCTCGTCGTTCTGGTAGGAGTAGAGTGAAACAGGAGACGTTAGAAGGGTTAGAAGCAATGGGTTGAGCCAGAGGGTCAAGGAATTTTGACTTTCTGAATTAAATTTGAAACACAATTTGGAAAGAAAAGTAATTTTGGTGACTTTAAATGAAACGGGGATCAATTTTGATGAGTTTAAGCACCTAGTAGCAACTTATAACTTGGAAACCATCTCATAATTCGCATAAAGTGTCAGGAAAAGCCGGAAACCTTATGTCGAGATGACCGGTCGCAGGAACTTCCTGCTGCATATATCTGACAAGTTCTGACCTCTAGCCAGCTGTCCGGCAGCAGGAGATTATAGAAGAATCCCCAAATATTTCCCTAATTTATATGTTGTTGTTTTATTCATAATATAAATTCCAGGTCACGCATGAATATGCATTGAAAACTCAATTACCTATAAGGAATAAAAATACATTTTTATTAACAATTTACGTAACTTATCAAAAATACGGTAGCATATATTTGTGGTGTTCCGTTTGTTTCTTGTCGCTAAGCTTTTCATTGTCGTGGCAATCATCAGCACACTGTTTGGGCCCTCAGTTCAGTCCACCGTAGAGATTAGTGGCTGGTGCTGCCTATGGGCTGGATCCTCCGGAATTCCCTCTGATGTTCAGCCGCCTGAAATGAGTAGCGCTGCACTCGCACAGGATATAAACAGATAATTTTCAGTGTCTTTGTGCGTGTTTTCGTGTGAGGTGATAACATATTGTGGATTAGAATGTTTCGGATTACAAGGAACTTTTTTCTCCAACAAGGCGGCCTTTTATGTTTATCTTGAATGAGCTAAGGCTGTTTAGTACCAGGTCATAAAGGAATAAAAGTTGTCCCCGTGCTTGACTATTTAAGCACTACGCCATGAAGACGTATGTGGGAGTGGATGTATACGTCCACGTTTTCTTGACCTCTATGCTAGTTGTAGGTCAATGATCAGCTTCCCGCCTCGGTCGTTATTCCTCTGGGAAAGAATCTCCGATACCGATTGGACAGTAGGCTGGGTGGGCCCCAGAGCCGGTCTGGATAACGTGAAGGAAGGAAAATTCTTGACCCTTCCAGTTCTCGA